TCCTGACGAGTACTGCGCTCAAAAACCTCAGATCTTCGTACCAACTTGGTATTCAGATACTGAGGCTGGTTTGTCAGCAGCGTCTTGTGAACCAAAATTGATGTTTGGAGATCAGAGATTTACTGTATGGATAGTGTATGAGATTTCAATCTGAATTCACTAATATGGTCAAATTTCTTCAAATTATAAACAAACCTCAGTGCATTATTCTGGAGCCTTGTAAGTATTTTGATTTTTTCTTTCGTTAAACAACCAGAAAAGGTAGAGAGGCAGTAGTTAATAGATGGATGAACCACTGCTTGCACTATTTGAAGTTTTGCTGCAGTAGGCAATATGAACCTCAACCTTTGTAACCGTCTCAACTTGCCAACAGCAACACGACAGATACGGCTCACCTGCTCAGAAAATTTAAGAGTATCATCTTGATATATACCAAGGACTCTTAACGAAGAACAAAGTGATAAAAGGCGTATCATCCAATGAAATCATCATACTACCCCTATTAGAATTCAGTCTGCCTTGCAGAGAAGAATTACTGACATGCAAAACTGAGCACTTATCAGGATTAAGTTGCAGCCCATGATCATCAGACCATTGCTTAACCACACTCAGATCGCAGTTCACATCCCTGATCGCGTCAAGGAGATTCGAAGATGGAAAGGAAGCGATAAGATGTGTATCATCTGCATATGAATGAATAGCACAATACCTCAGTTGACTCCCAAGGTTGGAAGTGCAAATCAAGAAAAGGATCGGCCCTAGACAACTACCTTGCGGAACACCTGTAATCTTAGGCAAAAAGTCTGACGTTTTCAGATCAACCTTAGTCTGTTTGGACCTATTGTTTAGGTAAGAGGAAACCCAGGCCACAGAGGTTATTAATATTGACAACGTGTTAGTGTAAAGTATTCCACTGTGGAGTATGCAGTGAGATCTGTTGTGGCAGGTGGCGTGTTAATGCTATATCAGTTAACCTCTCACTCGGATGTAACGCACCGCTTACATAACTGTGCTGTAAATATACACGGGATTTGGCAGTAGATCAGGAATTTCACATGACGTCATGGTTCACCCGTAAACCCTCTATGTGTCTCCCTCTCTCTCTCTTGTGTGGTGAATGGTTGTCGAAATGTTATCAGGAATAGTGGTGTTGTCGTAACCAAAATAGAGGAAATGTATATGTTTTTAGCGAATTTCCCTATAGGCAAGTAGCTATTACCGTAGGTCTCATGGTAAGACTTAGGCCCGGGACCGATTTACTTTTTCATTTTACTGTCCCCAGAGGCCAAAAACACCATTCGTTCAAATTTTTATATATGTATATATATATATAGGTATATATATATATATATAGATTTATATATATATATATATGTGTCCGTGAACACGATAACTTGAGTAATTTTTATCCGATTTTGATGAAATTTGGTTTGAAGGTGTATGGCGGGATAAACTTGAATGAGTTCGCGATCCAGCATGATCGGACCATGGGAACAGGGTTTTATGGGGGGTTTTATGGGGTAAAAATTGGTTTTTCTCACTTCTTACCCTCAAAACACAAAATTTCCAAATTTTTCTCTAAACCTTCTTAAAGAGCTTAAAAAAAACAAACAATTCAGTATATCAAAGTGTTTTTGTACGGTTATTGGTTACGGAGAAAACTTAAAAAATGGTAAATTTAAAATTCCCATGTTATTCTTATGGAGAATATTGTAATAATGTTGTAGTTTGCTTGTTTATGGATATATTTTGATCAAATTTGGCAAATTTATTTATTTCATAGTAAGCTATCAATATTTTACTAAAAACACACTACTTTATTAGTTTCCTTGTAGCAGCAAACCTAGGTACTCGTTAAACCTAATGTTATTTAAATAGATCAATTGAAAATCAATTCGGCCAAATGGAAATTCGCTTAGACGGCAGGTTTGCTGCGGCGGGGGTATTAGGGAGTTGCTAGCACTCAGGGGTTAATCTTTCAGTTACTATCAGATCGAATAATGATGTAGTAAAATAAGTCAGAACCCGTTATCTGTATTCGACTTTAGTTTCATACCATCAACGGTTATGTCTTAAATTGTGTATATTTTGGTATCATATTAATACTACTGCGATGGAGTTTGTATCTAATGCGTCACTCCAAAAATGTGTATAAGAGTTTAGTTTTTCTTGTAAGGAACGAATTCTGGGACGAATAAATTGGTGAACTATAATATTAAAAAAACTCTCCTATGAAAGGAAAAAATAATTATATATACAGTCTCACGTATAGTTTGGAAATTCAGGTGGTCGTTTTATTTCCTACAACTGTTAGCCAAACGTAGGAATCCGCACTTAATTTGTAAGCTAAACCTACTTTTTGGTTGGCCTGTGGTTGGTCCATGACTATATCACTGACCACACAACGGCGTGTGGGTCGGCCCGTGACTATATCACTGACCATACAACGGCGTGGGTCGGCCCGTGGCTATATCACTGACCATACAACGGCGTGGGTCGACCCGTGGCTATATCACTGACCACACAACGGCGTGTGGGTCGGCCCGTGACTACATCACTGACCATACAACGGCGTGGGTCGGCCCGTGACTATATCACTGACCATACAACGGCGTGTGGGTCGGCCCGTGACTATATCACTGACCACACAACGGCGTGTGGGTCGGCCCGTGGCTATATCACTGACAATACAACGGCGTGGGTCGGCCCGTGACTATATCACTGACAATACAACGGCGTGGGTCGGCCCGTGGCTATATCACTGACAATACAACGGCGTGTGGGTCGGCCCGTGACTATATCACTGACCATACAACGGCGTGGGTCGGTCCGTGGCTATATCACTGACCACACAACGGCGTGTGGGTCGGCCCGTGACTATATCACTGACCATACAACGGCGTGGGTCGGCCCGTGGCTATATCACTGACCACACAACGGCGTGTGGGTCGGCCCGTGACTATAAAACTGACCATACAACGGCGTGGGTCGGCCCGTGACTATATCACTGACCACACAACGGCGTGTGGGTCGGCCCGTGACTATATCACTGACCACACAACGGCGTGTGGGTCGGCCCGTGGCTATATCACTGACAATACAACGGCGTGGGTCGGCCCGTGACTATATCACTGACAATACAACGGCGTGGGTCGGCCCGTGGCTATATCACTGACAATACAACGGCGTATGGGTCGGCCCGTGACTATATCACTGACCATACAACGGCGTGGGTCGGCCCGTGGCTATATCACTGACCACACAACGGCGTGTGGGTCGGCCCGTGACTATATCACTGACCATACAACGGCGTGGGTCGGCCCGTGACTATATCACTGACCACACAACGGCGTGTGGGTCGGCCCGTGGCTATATCACTGACAATACAACGGCGTGGGTCGGCCCGTGGCTATATCACTGACCATACAACGGCGTGGGTCGGCCCGTGGCTATATCACTGACCACACAACGGCGTGTGGGTCGGCCGTGACTATATCACTGACCATACAACGGCGTGGGTCGGCCCGTGACTATATCACTGACCACACAACGGCGTGTGGGTCGGCCCGTGACTATATCACTGACCACACAACGGCGTGTGGGTCGGCCCGTGACTATATCACTGACCACACAACGGCGTGTGGGTCGGCCCGTGGCTATATCACTGACAATACAACGGCGTGGGTCGGCCCGTGGCTATATCACAGCCCTGAACGAGTGCGGCGGTCAGTTTTATGTTTGGCGTTCGTCCAGCGTTTATTTCGGATCTCAAAACACTTTATTCAGATTCGTATTCCGCTAGTATATAGTCCGCATAAACCCCGATCGCTAACTTAGCGTCCCCTCCGTGACTAGAATAAAAAACTGGCAAATCTGTAATTCTAACAGGAGACCAAGGGACATTGCTATATATTAGTAACTTTTAAAACCCGCGTTTTTCCAAATACTTGATAACTATAATGAGAATTGTTCCTTAATACACCCGGTTAGGGTTACTTTATGAAAGTCAATAAAAAAATAGTTTTTAGACCTACTATCAAAATGTGAAAATGTTGCGTAGTGTCTAATATCTGTTTCTTAGGAATTTAAATGGGCATGTTAAATATACGTTGTAAAAGATAATGCATTAGTTTTTGTTGACAATTTCTTTTTACCTTTTTACATAAAAAACCAATTCTATATTTGCCAAGTATGGGTTATAAACAAATCTGTATTCAGGGTAGAGATATTTTTATAAAATAAGGTAATTGGTGATTACAATTAAGTTAACAAAAAAAAAAGTTATGTCTAACATTACCCTAATATAAAAATCATATCGGCGAGCTGATGTATTATGCTAATTCAATTGAAAGGCAACAGGTTGACATGTACGCGTGTTATTTATGTGGCAAATCTATCTTGTGTCACTTGCTTGTACAGTAATCTAGTCATTCAATCAACAATACGATGCCTTTAAATATGGATTAATTTGTGTCGCACATCATACGACGGAAGTAGGAACTGTATCCTACCAAATATTATTTCTACTGCATCTACAGGTTAAATAAGTTAAGCAAAATTAATCATAGACTTATATTAATTATAGTGTTGGATACACTTTATCATCAAGTTTAATCAAGACCATAATTCAAAAACGCTTAATTAACAAGCGAAGTCGCTAAAAGTTAAATGTCAAGCGAATGAGATCCTAGTTAGGTGAATTATTAGATTTTCTGAATCATGATTGTTTAACGCTGTTACTGTATTGTGTTTTGCTATTGAGTGTAGATTGTTATTCCGGAGCGATCAGTATGCTGGTGGGGTGTACGTGGGAGAGGTGGATCAATGAAGGCGATGGTGGGAGGAGGTGGATGGTGGCGGCGAGGCGACGGTGATCAGTTGCGCATTGCGTCTGGTAGTGGCGAGTGGCGAGTGGCGGCCACCGGTGGCTACGCTGAGCCGCGATGGGCCGCGAGGAGTCTCAATCACCTGTAGAGCGCAAGAGTGAGTGACAGGTGCAGTGTGCGTGTGTGTGTGTGTGTCAGCTAACACTAACATGCCATGAGCGGGGCCGGGGGTTTCCTCGCCGCCGTCAAGACGTTGACGCCGCGACGTCGTCGACGGGGTAGCGAGAAGCGCCGTCTGGAGTTGCCCCAGCACGGAGGCAACCCTCCAGACGTCGTACCTTTCGAGCCGCCTCCCATCACGCCGCCACCGGCGTTCCTGCCTCCGGGACATCACAAGGCGGTGCTGCAAGGTGGGCTGTAGACCTCACAGATCTGGATCTGACCCATGTACAAATCCCACATTTAACTGGCTAAGAAAACGTCCTCAAAACTCGAGCTGTAGGTCTATGGTCTTCCTGGTAACTACAGTGTAGACTCATTTGGTACAAAGATTACTTAGGCGTAGCTGTGGTTAGCTTATATCAGGATAACTGGAACTACAAGTCGTTTGATACTTAGATATACAATACGTAGCAACATGAGCTATTTTCAAACGTATTCTGATATTTCTGGCTAAATTGTTTTGAATCAGTGTGGTGACAAGATGTTTACTTTCTACAAAAGGTTCCATGACCCACATTCACAAGATATATAATTAATTGAACGATTTTGTCGCTCGTTAGTATTATTGAATCTGTGAGATGTTCAGGGTGTTAACATTGGATCCTGCTGGGTTTGGGCCTTGGGGTGACTGGAATCTGTCAACGAAGGATGGGATTAAATTCACCTTAAACAACAACATAGCTCTCTCGTATTCATGAAGTCTTTAAGTAAGAAGTATCTGAGATGCTAACTAAGTATTGTCCTTAGAGTTTAATGTTTCTCTGTGCATCTAGAGGTACTTGTTCCTTGCTGTTCATTTCATTATTCCAATGTTTTGCGTGTTTGTGTCTTAATGATTAAATAATAATTTATATGTGTCTAGCGCTATTCACAAATATCGCTCTATATATTCATTCATCTAATATTCACCTGAAAGACACCAAATTGTGTTCAACAACTGTAGCTCAGTTTTGTAATAGGCCTAGTTGGAAACCCTCCGCCCCTAGAACATCCTCACCCCCCACGCATATCTCTACACTTGACCGGAAAACGAACTGACCGGTAAATTGACTGACCGTGAGGTGGAAGACACCGTCAAGGTTAGGCTGCTTAAGGGCTTCTTATCTTTAATTGGTGGTTTTAAAGGTATCGTATTGTCACGAGTCTTATTTGTAATTTGTTTTCGTCCATTCAATGAGTCGTTAGATGAATTCGGAATATGTAACTACTTAAATTTGAAAGTTCGCTAAACACACTGCAGTAAATGCTGGATGGATTTCTCTTCACTGCATGAATGCCACATTAAAGTTAAGTTATATAGCGAAATAGTTGTGGTCGGACTTATAACATATACGTCTTTATACGTACATAATATAAAGCAACTCAATACTATTTTAACTCAATAGTATTTTGCATCGTTTGTGTTAGGCGACTTGTGTCCATCCAGTTTCCCATACCAAGTTATACAGATAGAATATTATTCGTAGTTAAGATATTTATACTTGTGCCTCGTGTGAACTGACTATAATGGCTGTAAATATAAAAGGCTACTTGCAGAACCAAATTCCTCCAAAATCTTTAGTCAGCAGAGGTATGCCCTGGGGCTCCGAATCAAGTCCGATCATACTCATCTTCATAAATTATATTCTTTCAAGCTGGAATTTTCCAAATGTATCCCTATTTGTAGACCTTACTTCGCTATGATAATTCAAGTCCCAGTATGCAGGCATTAGAACATACCTTATTTATCGAATTCAACAGCCTGCTTCAGTGTTGTCAGTGGACAATCAACTAATCTTGAACGCCAACAAAATCACATTTCTTCAAATTCCCATGCAACGCTCACTTAGTGACCTGCGGGAGTGCGCGTTCTTCATAATACAACCACTATCTGCCCCCTTTTCGGATTTAAAGTGTCTTGGCCTAATTCTTGACGAGAACCTCAAATTTCACGAACGTGATCTAACAATATAGGTATCTATAGGATTCTTCATGCTCCGTACTCTTAAAGAGATAGTTTCTTCTGAGGTTCTCTTGGCAGCCTACTATGGACTTTTCTATCCTTATCCTACCTACGATGTACCTCTACTCTACGATTTTTTTTCTTTCACCGCTGCCAATACTGCATAGAAATCTTAAGATTACATTGACATCTTAGAACCCTTATTACCCCTTAGAAACCCTGTAGAAACCCCTATCATCGTACAGTTCTTTGAAGTTCATAAATAATATCCTTTTCGCAACACTTTCAACATAGCAGTACCATGGTACTCAACTGCATAAAAAAAGTTGAGAATTGGCTAATACATGACGTAATGAATTGTTAATCTGGCTTAATAAATGACTTACTGGTATTGTCGATCGAAGCAGTTCCAAGAGAAAACACTGCGTCTTCTTTTATATAATACTTGCGCTAATGTGAACCGAATATTTTTTAGTCTCTGGCTAACTCGCATGAGTAAACTCAGTTAAAGCTGCATGACAAAAGATGGTTTGATCGTTGGATTTTGTTAGATTGGCAAAATAACTTAGCTGTGAAGGTATTTGTAATTGCACTCTTTTGCTCTCACTAAGTAAAATTCTGCCTTAATCTGTTCAATGTTTATACAACTGGTGTGATAAAATCCCTTTCCTACTCATATAAATAAGCATCGATTTTGATTGCTAATCTCTTAACGTATACGCAAGTTTGTAATCACCAAATGTATTTTTGAGTCCCCCACAGCCCTAAAGCTTGAATGCGTGGGACGGGATCAATGTAGGCTCGGGTCACGCCCCCCCCCCCCTCAAACCCTCTACCACCACCTGACTGTTTATGTTTACCCTCAAGGCGCAACAGATAGTTTTATTTACATTTGGGAAATTTACTTCAACTTCCGCATGCAAGTATTAAAATTGAGTTTGTAAAATTGTAATTTCTTGAAAATACCGTACGTGTTCCTTTAAGGGTTGTCATAAACACTTAGTGAAACCCTATATTTACCCTATGTTTTCACAGGGGTTTGCGAATTTCCCATATAGGGAATAAGCTATTGCCTTAGATCTCATAACCTGGACCCGGGACTGATTTACTGATTCGTTTTGATGTCCCCAGAGGCCAAAAACACCATACGTTCAAATTCATATCGGAAATTTGGTACAAACGTGTAAACCTACGTTTATTTTAAAGAGTTCACAAACCAGCATGATCGGGCAATTGGAACGGGGTTTTATGTGGTAAAAATAGGGTTTTCTCATTTTTACCCTCAAAAAAGAAAATTTCCCAATTTCTCATTAAACCATTTTATGAGCATGAAAAAACAAATAGACCTAATTTAATTTATTGAAGTGTTTTGTACGGTTATTGGTTAGGAAGAAAATTTAAATAATTGCAATTTTAATATTACTATGTAATTCTTATGAAGAATTACTATTGTAGTTTGCTTGTTTATGGATATATTTTGATCAAACTTGGTGAATTTATTTATTTTATAATAAGCTATTAATATGTTATAAAAAACACACACTTTATTGCTCTCCTTGTAGCAGTAAACCTTTGTACTCGTTAAATCTTAGGATTTTTTAAATAGATTTAAATGTAAATCCAATCAGGCTCATGTTAAATCGTTTAGTCTGCAGGTTTGCTGTGGCAGGGGTATTTTTTATTCAAACCTCTGAGCTAGAAGTTCTTTTTTAGTTTAAAAAAATAATATTTCATCTGAAAAAATATACAGCCCTAGAATTAATTTCCTAGCGGTACGAGATTAATTATTATCATGGCAGACTAGCCGACTTCAGTTAAATTTTAAGTAGAGCCTCTGACTTCGTTTTGAAATGACAAACTAGATGTATTTACCTGTGAGATCGAAAGATAACTGTTTACAGTTTCCGCAAATTACTTAAACCTAGGTGGAAATACATGGTTTTAAAATCACTAATAAGGCTATTGCACAAAAAAAAAATTGGAAAATGGTAAAAATGCTTTTGATGAAAAGAATACTGCACAGAAACGCCGGCCAAGACCATAAAGAAAATACCAGCAATTTTCCAGTTACCCTTTCACTAATTCAATTGTTATTGCACTGAGCTTTGAAAAGATTTATGATACAAATATTTTAAACTGATATCTGACTAAATTTGTCAACAGATCCGTTTGGTAAACACAAAATCGTCGAAAATATCTAAATCAAAACTTTGTGAGAATAATTTTTAAACTTCAATGTGGAAAATATATTTCAATTCAAGAGTTAATGTCACAATTTATTGTTCAAAATTGATGACACGATGCACTCATTACGTCATCACTATTCACTTCAGTATTTGAAACATGCTTCAGTAAGAACTTCGTAAGCTCATTTATATCCTTGAAATACAAATTTAATTCTGTTCTCATATAATCGACCTTTTACGATTGTTTTTTATAAATTCTTCGTCAAATCACGAATTTCACGAATATAAATGCCACCCTTGTGTTTTATTATTTTATTGATTTATAATTATGGTCATAATAAGAGCCACCAGTTTATTCCAGTGCATTTAACCTAAGTTTTTGCTACTCTATATGAACAGTGACTTTTCGAATTAAAGTGCAAGTTGACCAAGTACAAACCTCCCATTCGAAACACATTTAGATGTGGTGACAGATCAGCTGGCATATCGCTTTCCCTCCAAAACAATCCATTAGCCGCCATTAGTGCAGAGGTCATTAGATCGCTGGTTTGGTGATTTAGTTCATTGCTTTGCTTACCCTCACAAAGTGGTCGGTCTTACCCAGTTGATTTCTTGGTTATATTCACTTTATTTGATAGGCTATAACTTAAAATGCGTACTTTGCACCAGTATTGGACTTTCTGTGTACGATTTGGAGTAACCCCTAAATCAAACTATGAATGTTTGTTTGTTAATTAATTTTGCAACGGTACGTACTCCTTTTTTTTATCTTAAAACATAATTAATTTATGGTATAAATAACAAGTCACTCATACAATAAGTTTAAATACAATGTGAACTTGAAGACATATCTCTTGGACACTTGTTTATTTTTTACATTAGTTTTATGAAAATTATAGGACAAAGGTTATTTTGTGAAACTAAATGTCATCCATCCAAAATATAAAGATTAGTTCCTTCTAACGGGTAGCGGGATTTTATCTCCCTGGAATTTTACTCCCTGAGAAAACTGACGTCACAAACCATGGGGTAAAATTCCGACCTCGAACTTCTAAGTTGC